CTTTAGACCTGGTTCAGTCCAGATTTAGACTGACATCTTATTAAAATTCCTGCCCTCTGCTCCTCGTGTCTGAGAGACACAGACTTCATTTATTCATGACATTTAAAATAATTAATTAGATATTTTCCATTAAAATCAAAGCGCCAGCGGCAAAACACTGATGTTGTGTCCTTAGGCAAGACACTTCACCCACACGGCCCAGGATGAACGTGTGTGTGTGTGTGTGTGACGATGGGAGGGCATCTGATTGGATTTGCTGTTAAGTGGTTTTCTGTGTTTGTCTTCACAACCTAAAAATGATCTTGACACTTTCAAACTGTCAACAAGAACAAACACTTTACACAACTGAAGAAGACCAGGACTAAACCAGGACTAAACCAGGACTAAACCAGGTCTAAACCAGGTCTAAACCAGGACTAAACCAGGACTAAACCAGGACTAAACCAGGTTAAACCAGGTCTAAACCAGGATTAAACCAGGACTAAACTAGGACTAAACCAGGACTAAACCAGGACTAACTAAACCAGGTCTAAACCAGGTCTAAACCAGGATTAAAACCAGGACTAAATCAGGACTAAACCAGGACTAAACCAGGTCTAAACCAGGATTAAACCAGGACTAAATCAGGACTAAACCAGGATAAACCAGGATTAAACCAGGACTAAACAGGACTAGGTCTAAACCAGGTCTAAAACCAGGATTAAACCAGGACTAAATCAGGACTAAACAGGACTAAACCAGGATTAAACCAGGACTAAACCAGGACTAAACCAGGTCTAAACCAGGTCTAAACCAGGATTAAACCAGGACTAAATCAGGACTAAACCAGGACTAAAACCAGGATTAAAGGACCAGACTAAACCAGGACTAAACCAGGAACTAAATCTAAACCAGGTTAAACCAGGATAAAAAACCAGGACTAAACAGGACTAAACCAGGATAAACCAGGTCTAAACCAGAATAAACCAGGTCTAAACAGGACTAAACCAGGACTAAACCAGGATTAAACCAGGACTAAACCAGGACTAAACCAGGTAAACAGGTAAACCAGGACTAAACCAGGTTAAACCAGGACTAAACAGGACTAAACCAGGTCTAAACCCAGGTCTAAACCAGGACTAATCCAGGTCTAAATCAGGTCTAAACCACGTCTAAAACCAGGATTAAACCAGGTCTAAACCAGGACTAAACCAGGACTAAACCAGGTAAACAGGACTAACCAGGTCTAAACCAGGATTAAACCAGGACTAAATCAGAACTAAACCAGGAACTAAACCAGGTCTAACCCAGAACTAAACCAGGGCTAAACCAGGACTAAACCAGGACTAAACCAGGACAAGACGAGGACTATACCAAGACTAAACCAGGTCTAAACCAGGACTAAACCAGTACTAAACCAGGTCTAACCCAGAACTAAACCAGGGCTAAACCAAAATTAAACAGCCTCCCGTGCACGACCCTAGGAGCCCCACGTGCGCGACTCCGGGAGCCCCACGTGCGCGACTCCGGGAGCCCCACGTGCGCGCTCGCCTCTGGTCTGTCCCTCGACCTCCTAAAGGACACGAACCGGGTCCTTTTTCATCAACACATCTCTGATAAATCCTCTGTGATCTGACCGGGCGCTTTAAAGAGCAGAAGAGAGAGAAGAGAGGGAGGAGAGGGAGGGGGAGGAGAGAGAGGGAGGAGAGGGAGGGAGGAGAGGAGAGAGAGAGGGAGGAGAGAGAGGGAGGGGGAGGAGAGAGGGAGGGAGGGAGGGGGTGGAGAGGAGGAGGGAGAGAGAGAGAAGGAGAGAGAGGAGAGAGAGGAGAGGAGAGGGAGGGAGAGGAGAGAGGAGGAGAGAGGAGAGGAGGAGAGGGAGGGAGAGAAGAGAGAGGAGGAGAGGGAGAGAGGAGAGGAGGAGAGAGAGGAGGGAGGAGAGAGAGAAGAGAGAGGAGAGAGGAGGAGAGGGAGAGAGAGAGAGAGGGAGAGAGAGAGGAGGAGAGGGAGAGGAGAGAGAGAGGAGAGAGAGGGAGGAGAGAGAGAGGAGAGGAGAGGGAGAGGAGAGGGAGGGAGAGGAGGAGAGAGAGAGGGAGGAGAGAGAGAGAGAGAGAGAGGAGAGAGAGGAGAGAGAGAGAGAGAGAGAGAGAGAGGAGAGAGAGGAGAGAGAGAGAGAGGAGAGAGGAGAGAGAGAGAGAGAGGAGAGAGGAGGAGAGAGAGAGAGGGAGAGAGAGGGAGAGGGAGAGGAGAGAGAGGGAGAGAGAGGGAGGAGAGAGAGAGAGGAGAGGAGAGAGAGAGGAGGAGGAGAGGAGAGGAAGAGAGAGGGAGAGGAGAGGGAGAGGAGAGGGAGGAGAGAGAGGGAGAGAGAGGAGGAGGGAGGGAGAGAGAGAGGGAGGAGAGAGAGGGGAGGAGAGAGAGAGGAGGAGAGAGAGAGGAGAGAGGAGAGAGGGAGGAGAGGAGAGGAGAGGAGAGAGAGAGGAGGGAGAGAGAGAGAGAGAGGAGAGGAGAGAGGAGAGAGAGGAGAGGAGGGGAGGAGAGAGGAGAGGAGAGGAGGAGAGAGAGAGAGGAGAGAGAGGAGGAGAGGAGAGAGAGAGGGGAGAGAGGAGAGGAGGAGAGAGAGGAGGAGAGAGAGGAGAGGGAGGAGAGGGAGAGAGAGAGGAGAGAGAGAGAGAGAGGGAGGAGAGGAGAGAGAGAGAGAGAGAGGGAGGAGAGAGGGAGGGAGAGAGAGAGGGGGAGAGAGGGCAGAGAGAAGTGGGGAAGAGACGGAGAGAGACAGAGGGGGAGTGAGGAGAGAGGGACAGAAAAGAGAGGGAGAAGAGAGAGAGAGGGACTGGAGAGAGAGGGAGGAAAGGAGAGGAGGAGAGAGAGAGAGGGAGAAGAGAAGAGAGAGAGGAGAGGGGGAGACAGGGAAAGGGAGGGGAGGGAGAGAGGGTGAGAGGGAAGAAAAGGCGAGAGAGAGAGGAGTGGGACAGAGGGGAGGAGAGAGAGAGCAGAGAGGGAGAGAAAGAGGAGAGAGAGAGAGAGGAGAGAGGGACAGAAGAGAGGGAGGAGAGAGGAGAGGAGAGAGAAGGTAGGAGACAGGGAAAGAGAGGGAGGGGAGAGGGACAGACGAGAAAGGGAGAGAGAGGAGGAGAGAGAGAAAGAGAAGGAGACAGGAAAAGAAAGGGACGAGGAGGGGGAGAGGACAGAGGAGAGGAGGGAGAGACGAGAGAAGGAAAGAGAGAGAGAGAGAGACAGTGAGGGGAGGAGAGGAGCGAGAGATGGAAGAAGAGGAGAGGAGAGGGGAGGAGAGCAGGAGAGTGAGATGAAAGAAGACGGGGAAGGAGAGGGAGAAGGAGAGAAAGAAGGACAGAGGAGAGGAGAGAGGGGAGGAGACAGGGAAAGAAGGGGAGAAGGAGACCAGGAGGAGTGGAGGGAGAGGGAAACAAGAGAGGAGTGGGATTAAGAGAAAGAGAGAAGTAGGCGGGTAGAAACAATGAAAGAGAAAGAGGGATGGGGAAAGAGAGACAGAAAAGAGGGAGGGAGTGAAAGAAGAGAGAGGGTTTGAGGGGTAACATGAAGGTGCAATTAAAGGTGACATTTAAAGTGCACATGAGAGGTCAGAGCTGCACAAAAGTGAAAATGGCAAAATGAAAAAGCATCAAGTGTAAGATTTAGATTTTAAATTAAACAACTGTGTCCCCAGATACAAAATAAACATGTTTTACTGAGAATAATTCTAATGTTGATTTATTCTTAAATACAAAAACACTGGACCTGATGGACACGTGTTTGGTTCGAGATGATTAATGTGTGAATATTGTCGTTTGTTTCTTTTCAGTGGAGACGGAGGCGCCGGTGAACTTGACCTACGAAATCTACGACGCCGGAGGAGACGAGATGGGGCACAACAGCCTCCTGACCTGGTCCTACCCCAAACCCGAAGACGTTCGGTACGGCTGGATCACGCTCATTTATGAACTACAGTACAGGAGGGTCAACGAGCCGACCAACTGGAAGGTACGGGACCGGGACTAGACTGGGACTGAACCAGGACTGATCCAGATCTAAACATGTTCTCGTGGTTCCAGGTGAAGAGTTCTCTGCGTGACCCTCATGTGGAGTTGTTGGGACTTCCTGTCGGAGAGTACGTGGTTCAGGTCCGATGTCGATCTCGTAACTACGGACGCTGGAGCCAATGGAGCCTCCCTCTGTACATGAGTATACCTGCAAGACCCCCCACAGGTGAGACTGGACCAGGACTAGACCAGGACTAGACCAGGACTAGACCAGAACTTCACTAATTCAGGTACAAGAAAAATATTTAGTCTTTTAGGGCCTGATCTTGCCCCCCGTCTTAGCACTAGAGCTGGCGCTAAGGAGTGGGCGTGTCCAGGTGGGTTTGTACTTCGCTGCTGGAGGCTGGAGTGAGACGGTACAAGTACATATATGGTGACAGCATCTGAACCAATCTGTGATCGCTGTGGGATTATCAGGCAGCAAAGCGGAGTGTGGGGAAAAGTTACATATGTGACAATAAAACAGCTCCGGAGCCCCACGATGCAAGTCCACACCAGCAGCAGGAATCTAGAATTTTGTATGGGCCATGACAGAACTGACTGGGTTTGTGTTTCGATCACTGCGACACACGTGCACCTCTGTAAGCCCGTGCACCCGCCACACACACCAACCTTTTATAGTTTTCTCTGCGTTTGTGTAAGGCCAGTGTCTCTCATACACTCCCCATCCCACAGCAGACTCGCTGCTTTCTCGCTCCCGCTCCCGTCTGTCCCAACAGTCCGCTCCCATGGACTCACCTGAGGTACGAGTGTCCACCTCTGCTGCCGCTGACCGTTCACATTTTCATCTCTGGGGTCCACTGCATTTGGTCCCACACAGGTGAAAGTCTCGTGGATTATGGAACACGTTTATTGTCATATAAATTAGAGCCCGACCGATATGGATTTTGCTGTGGCCGATATGAAACCGATATAATGGATTGCGCGCGATGCGATATAATGCGATTTTAGTGATGTAAAATTACT